TTGCGTAGCCTCGTCTGACATAATCACGCATTGCGTAGCCTCATCTGACGTAATCAAGCGTTGCATAGCCTCGTCTGACGTAATCACTCATTGCGTAGCCTCGTCTGACGTAATCAAGCGTTGCGTAGCCTCGTCTGACATAATCACGCGTTGCGTAGCCTCGTCTGACGTAATCACACGTTGCGTAGCCTCGTCTGACGTAATCACTCATTGCGTAGCCTCGTCTGACGTAATCACGCGTTGCGTAGCCTCGTCTGACGTAATCACGCATTGCGTAGCCTCGTTTATTCGCATCAAACAGTCGAGAGGGAAACCAGATGGAAACAGTCTAGATTTGAATTTTTATTTATTTAATTTTTTGCAAATTTTGAAAAATTTCGATAAAAATTCACTCTACAACTGGATGGAAACACGATTAGTGACTCTCATCACCAGTGATGTGTAAACGAGTGGCTAGATGGCAACAAAAACGTGGTTTTTGTGGTTTCACTGATAACCAGCTCCGTGTAAAGGGGGCCTTGTTATTGCTACCAACTCTCATGCTAAAGAGGTATGAGACCACGCACCTGGCGGTACCTAACGCAGAGTTCACTCATCCCGATGCTAAGAAAACAGGAGGGGGAGGGGTCAGTCGAGCCCCCTGTGCACCGGAGCACAGAGACAAGAGAGGCTCCTCATTTCAACCTCAAAATAATTTATCATAGGATTAATTGATTATTGACTATCGTGACAGGCCTGGTCATTGGGCACATGCCTTGTCTGCTGGTGGTGGTCAGAGGGGATGGTGGCACTGATGCATGACCCCCCACTTCTGTCAGTTAGGGCAGTATGAATGAATAAGACATGAAATTGTAAAGCATATTTGAATGTGTAGAAAAGCCTCATTTAAGACTAATGCATTACTGATATCATTATGTTTGGTCCTGTTTTCATTAGATTCTCTCACTGAGGATGGGTTTCACATCTGCAATACAGTTTCCCTGTTTACAAGCCACTTTTTAAAAACATGCTCCACATTACCAAACTGCCAGTTAATTAGTTAGTAAATAAATAAAAATCATACCTCCAAAGTTCACCAGCCTTCCTATCCGAGTGACGGGCACCTTCCTCTCTCTGGAGTTTTCACTGAGCTAAAATAAAAAGACAAAACTTGATATGTGAAGGACAAGTTTGAATACCCCAGTGGGTTGTAATGTCAGATATATGTTCAATGTGTCGCCAACAATAAGAAAAAAAAAGTCTGATACCCTTTGTTTAAATTGCTTGGCCTCTGATGCTTTGACTCTTCTTGCTTTTTCGATGTCCTGAGCTGTCAGCCGCCCAACAGTGGTGTTGTTCTGGTTAAAAAGCCGCCTTTGTCTGGAGAACAGCTGGCAGGACCCATTCCTGTGGCTCTCCAGATGTTTAGCTCCAGATCTTCCATTGCACGGCCCCTGACTGCCACTCACACTTCCAGAGAGGTAGGAAGTGAAGTAAGGCCCCATCGTTGAGTATCTGTGGACATGTGTTGCTGCCACTCCGAGGACACAACCTTCCACCTGTTGAACAAAATATAGTCCACCTGAGTAAAGACTGGAGCATGTGTCGACATATGGGAATAAGTTTAACTAAAGGAAAAAAATTAACATGCCCTTGAAAATAGCAAAGGTAATTCCTCTTTTTAAAAATGGTGAAAAACATGTGTTTAACAACTACAGAACAATATTCCCGTTACCACAATTTTCAAAGATTTCGGAGAAATTATTTGTGATTAGATTGGACAAATTCATTGATAAGCAGAATATATTAAATAACAGTCAGTATGGGTTTAGACCAAAAAATTCTGCATCGATGGCTCTCATTGAATTAATAGAACCTATAACAACTGCTGTTGATCAAAAACAGTACTGTTAGTATTTTTGTTGATTTAAAAAAAGTGTTTGATACTATTAACCACAGTATTCTTTTTGAAAAGTTAAATAAATATGGTATTAGAAGACCTGCATTACAGTGGGTATCTAGTTATTTGGAAAATAGAAAACAATTTGTACAAATAAATAATGTAAGATATGAGTATTGTAACATCTCATGTGGAGTGCCGCAAGGTTCCATTCTCGGACCGAAGTTATTTATTTTGTATGGGAACGATTTGGTAAATGTATCAGATCTTTTTGGGTGTGTTCTATTTGCTGATGATACAACATTATTTTGTTCCGGTAAAGATATAAAAGAAATGTTGGAGATGATACAGACAGAATTTGTGAAAATACAAAGTTGGT